GTGTTTTCAACGCCTCGCAAATTGTAATCGAGTTTTCAATGTGCATGAATCATTGAAGTACACAAAATGCTTAAATTAAATTAAAATTTAGATCATTGCTTCACTTGGTTTTCCTTTACCAGCCAAAAAATGCACCTTTTTATGAGTTCTGAAGCAATCTGCATCGTTGCCTAAATTTATTTAGTAGTTCAACAATTTCAAGGTAATTTGCTGAGTAAGCTTTAATGCAGAGAGCCTTGCTTCAGCACGATTGACGCCAAACATTTGGACACAACGGACGTCCATTCACTGTCACCAATGGGCCAGAGAAGTTGTTTGTTACCCACACCTGACTCCCCACCAGTTTCAAAGAATGTAATTTATTTGTATAGATTGGATAACCAACCGTTTAACATAGACTTGTTGATTCGACCTAACCTACATTTGACCATTCGTATTGAAGCGAGTTGTCAGGACTTAACTGCATTCTGCTTCATCAATACTGGCGATTTCAAGTAGGAAAACTAACAACAAGAAACCTTCGAGTGCAAGTACTTCAAACTAACTTTGGTTGGTGCCGTAAGTTTGGTAAGTACCAAGTCGGCCATTATTCTCATTTGCTACACCACAACTTGCCTAACGACTTTTGAAATTCCAGATAACCCAAAAATGTAGTGGCGTCTTAAAAATGCTCCCTGTAATTCAAAAGTCCATTTTTAAAACAGACTGCTTTGATCTCATTTTACGCTCCCATATTTCACTGAACCCCGTCAGTTTGTGTCAGCACAAGGTAAGCATGGGAAGCAGACATTTGCAATCAAATTATGGAGTTTGCTTCGAAAGCTATCAAATGTGCATTTTTCACACCTTATTCGAAGATGAGTAGGTGTTACTTTCACAGGTAAATTATACTGATATGTATATAAATAACTTATTTTTTTCTTTTTGCTACCGGTAACAGGCTGCTAAATAAGCAATCCTAGTCCACGTCTTCGTGCCTAGTTGTGTTAAGCCATTCAGATTAAATTCGCATATTTAGCTCTTTCTTGTACCGTTACGTGCGTAATGGATAAATAGGAAATTTTGAAACTAAATTCAATAAAGCACAAGAAAAATTGCAAATTCTAATCATTAATTTACTCTAAATAACGTTTTTAAATGTCCCCATTGTTTTTAAACTCCCTTTACGGAAGCTGTCTCGTTTTTCTTCGAAGGAAGCCGGGGGGTAGGTTTTGACTTCAATGGACTCGAATTTATGTTATTCAAATGATTTCGCGGAGAACGAAACAGGTAAAAATCCGAATGAACATGGCCAGGGAAGTACAAAGGGTGTCTTGTGAATCGTGTTGATCCACACTCGTTAATTTGATTACGCCAGCGCCCGACAGTGGGTCCCCTTTTCGCGGCATGTCATCAGCCACAGAAATCCTCAAACCCCTCCTTCATTAGCACGAACGATGATCCTAAATTATTCTTACACCTAGGTCTCGATGTTAGCACATCTATGACCCACACATCTGAGGTTTAAATACACACGCACAAACACTACACATGACACCAATTTGGTTGAACTGCGAAGTAAACGGCTGTGTCCACGTCGTTTCCGATCTTCTTCATCGAGAGTATCAGGGTAGCGTAATCGGGCCAGATCAAACTAAGTTGCCCCGGCGTGGTTCAAGACTACATGCTGGGACCCACAACAATTGGTGACCCCACAACAGATGCTAGGAGATTCCCCATTTAAGTCCTTAGGCTTTCGCAGTGGCTGTTGAGCCAAACGCGGTCTACCGCTGCCAAAGTGAATAGTGTTGATCTTTCGATTAATCAATCTTGCATGTTTCGCTTGGATTTTAATAATGAGTTTTATTAACTGTTCACAGTAATTCTCCACAGTTGTAATTAACCCACGTGGAAAAAGCTTGCAAGCATTATTCTTCTATACTCCCCCTAGGTAAGTCGCAACACATTCAATGGATGCGGTTCAGTCTCTGCCGTTGATTTTGCCCTTTCACGTCCATGCTTCCGGCTTCATTTATTGATTTTGTTGTTATGAACAGGCAATGCTTCATCTCCTGTTATGAGTTGGCCCGAGGAATGTTCGTTTCGTCAACGGGAGAAGAGAAGAGCGCCCTTGTTCCGTTCGGAATCCACGCATCCATGCTCTAAACTGCGAAATGTGTTCGAATTGAGAACGTTTTGTCTCACGGGGATCTCCACAGTGCTAATTCATTAAATTCATTCATAATTCCGAAAGGGCTTCCAGAGCAAGATTTATGAATTAAACGTATTTCGACCTGACCTAAGAGCAGAAGCATGACCAGAATAAACTACATGAATTATTTATATTTCAGTTCAAACACTCACTCCATCTATGATTATTAGGCACAAACTTTTCCAACTACTCAATGCAAGAATAAGTATGTAAACCGATCGAGACAATAATGAGGTCACTTGAACGAAACGTTACCACTACGACCTAGCGAAATTACGGTAATACTAGGTAGAAACTGTGCTTAATGCCTGGTTAGATAAGGCGGCAATAGAATTCTGACATTCCTTAAGTAAATGTTGGTATGTAACGCCATACACTCAATCTTTTTATACCATCGGCTCATTTGGGTGCGCTGCCACGATCTTAAGTACCATTTACTTGTAATGAAGTATTTTGACATTTAACAGAATTAAGCAGTTTTCTATGCTTCGTAAAAAACTTTCATGTTGGTGGCACCGACCGTGTTCTACCCTAATGACATTTGAACAATGTAATGGGCGTGCCATGGACGAGTTGTCTTCACACGCATACCCCTAAAAGCCAGCCGCAGTTATATTTAGTATGTCACAGTAGTACGATCGGCTTACTCGCTGACCTTCATCACGCGCCGTTGCGTGACCAGAATTTTGCGAAGGCGCCTAAGGACGTAGTAACACGTCAAGAGCAAGGTTTTAATGGTCTCACCACCCAATACGCCTTGATGTTTAAATTACCGGCTGAGTTCTTTGTTGTCAACAAACCCAACTTCAACACCTTTCCACTTTTCTACTGCCTTATAACGAGTACTTTCCTTAGCGGTAGTTCCTCAGGAGTTTCTGAGAAATTTAAAATCTTAAGCTGCTCTTTCACGGCTGACCGCATTCCCTCCCAATACTTCTTTTGCTTGTCATTCACGACACCGTCTTAACTTCTGACTTGTGCGGGACCCTCGTAATTCAGATTATGAGCATCGACCTGCCTAAGGAATCATGTTCCACTCCTCAGGATGTACTTCTGTGTTCGGAATTCTGAGGCCCTTTTGTTGGAAAACACCTATTTTAAATAATAGGTCGCCTTTTGGAACGAAAATTCATTTGCACATAATCTTTGACACTACAGAGATAGCAATATCAAGTGTGACCAACTACGTTGTTCCTGCCGAAAATTAACCCGGTTTCCGGAAGCATTCGTTATATTTGTATTGACGTTTGTTTGAACACGTTCCAAGTGGACTGTTTCGTTAGCAGAGAAACAGTCTTCCAACCATAAGTCTGGCCTATAATACTCTGAACGACTAGCGATTCCCTTGGCGTTCCATAGCCTATGTGATCGCAAGCAGTGACGATAGAAAAACTTAAACACATTAAAGTAACTCCAGCTTTCACTAACCTTCCTGGAAGCATCCACATGCCGCCTCCTAGGGCGACATACGTTTGACGCACCACACTTCCATGACCTTGACGACTTACTCGGAAAAACTGAACGAGCTGCTGCACCAATGGCTGATTCTACCGTTGTGAGTGTGGTGTTCAAAAATTGCCAGCCTCCACAATTCTAGGTATGTTATCGCCGGACACTCAGAGATTTCTGATGATAAAAAAGCAGCTTAAGCAACACTAAACTCAGCCCACTCACATATCTGGACTTATTACATATGAAAGGTTTATTTCTTTAGTTTCCACTGTAAACAGTAAAAGCAACCAGAAGCCCTGCCACAAAGTGGATGTTTCAATGCGTAGCCGAGACCATAACTACTGCTGAACATGTGCGCATAAGCTACCTTAACCTTGAGGCACTTGAATTACTGTTTTTCGAATTATAGTTTATACCACTTTAGTTACAGGCATAAAACCTAATTCGCCGTTGTCCCATACAACCGTTGCTATCGGGTATAGTTAAGAATTCATTACGACACAAACAGCAAAATATTGCGTGAATAACTGAACGAAAAAAATTTTCTTGAGCAGAATATATCATAGAATAGGATTTAAAAACATCAAATAATCCAATTTATTAATCATTTCTAGGTCCGAAAGTAGCCGTCATTGAAGGCATAACTTTAATTAGTGCATCAGCTATCTTGATAAAATGAACCGAACGACTCAAAAGGCAGTATTAATGTGCCGTAAATGATGAGTTTTATTGGTTTGTGCCATACCAAAGTGTGTGCTTCTAACATATTTTGATGTTGACGACAAGATAACGTGGGGACTGAAAGGAAATTAGCCTCAACTGTAAAAAAAGACATTTTAATCTAGAAAACAACAGTTTACAAATCATTACATGATTGTTTTCCAGTGGAATCCGGCAGAGAGTAAATTCCGACTATCCAAAATATGTGATTAGAAAGATGAAACTTGGTTTTAAAACCAAATTGAACCAGGAAAAGCCGTAACCTTAGAACAGAGCTCCCATTTACAGATTTCATATCCAGAAACATCTCAAGCCCACCAATCATTATTACAAAGCATTATGTCAATTATCTGCTTTTTGAAATCCAACGGTAATAAATGCTAAAGGGATCTAAAGGAAAATGGGTGACTGAAACGTAGAGAATATACACAGTTACTAAATAACTGCCCCACATGCAGCAGCATAGGCCAAAAAGTTAACACAACAACTACCGAGGAAAACTATATTGTAGTTTGAAACAGTAAAAAGTCAGGAACAACGAAGGCCCGAGTACGGTATTTCTATTTAGCAAATCTAACTATGACATCTTTGTACACAAATAACGGTCAAATCAATGAGTGCAACCCAAAATACTGTCTTATTTACCACTAAGAAATTTGCTAAGAAAGTCCTCCGGTTTTTCCACAGCTGTCTCCTGAAAGGCGTCCATAATGTGGCAATCAGACTGCCAAATATGAGCGACTTCAATTAATCCGTTTTGTCCCTGCATCACATGTTAAAATGAAAAAAAAACAAATACCCGGTGAACAAGCAAATCAATAACCCTAATATCCTGAACGTCTTTGTGTTTCAGGAATTCCTCCCTCAACTTTTGCTTTAGCTGCGGAACGGTAGCAGAAACGTAGGAATATCCATATTCCTTTACAATGAATGGGAGTTGACGGTACCAGGCACGGTAGAGATTCAAAACCCTGCGCCTTGCTTCTTCAGGAGTTTTAGAAAGTATAGGCCTAGCAACTATAAACCCTTTTGAAGACGACATTGACGAACTTCGTTAAGTCCACACCAAACAAAAAAATCGAAGATACCGCACAACTATTAAGTAACTGGCATCTTTTATTGTTTAGATATCATGCTTACTTCATGTAAAACAGTTCAATCCCTTTTTTAAACAAAATAATGAATTTTGTAACGTATATCCTGTGCAAATGTATAGAATAATATTTATTCTACAATGTTAGGCTTCCGTGGTAGAATCAAACGCGTGGTTGTGTCACTTACTGTGGCAAGAATTTGAGACTATAATACCTTATTTCTTTACTAATCTTTTTATAATCCTACTTGCTGCTTCAGAAACGACTTTCCTTTTTATTTCTTTAATATTAAACTTCACACATATCTGATTACTCAATGATGGAAACTTTTATAATTGGTCCAGTTCATGGAAATGGTTTAACCTTGTTCAGTGTACCTCATGTTCAGTATTAGAGGCTAAAATTATCCTTCATTCTTTCCATGAAGTCACTATCAACCCTCTCATAATTAATTTTCGTTGCCTTTGTGAAGGAATGGCAGAGTGTGCAGGTCAGAATCCCTTAAAATATTTCTCTTTCCAGAAGATTGCGAATCTCAATGAAGCAATGTTATAGTGGTCACACTGTCAATATCATCTAAAACAGAAAAGGAGTATTTGCATTGTAGTTTGGATCTCTTGATCGAAATGCTTTTCGCGTGAAACAGCAAACTGTCATGAAAGAATTAAATTTAAAGTAAGGAATTTAAACCTGAAAATAATTAAGTGCTTTGCTTATTTATTATTATTATTATTAACAATTAAGCGCATGTCCTGATTAGTAAACAAAATTAATGACGACTGATGAATTAATGAAGAATGGCAAATTATATTCTGAAAACTCTAGTCTTAATTTCTTTAAATAGCACCTAAGTTAACTGTGGTCCTTGGCAAAATTTCATGACTTATCGGAGTCACCGAAAGGCACGTGACATTTTCACAGACCAAATAAATCAAGTGGCTGAATGGCAATTTTGCACTTCAAAAATGTAAACATCGGGCTGGTATGGAATACGTAGAGTGGAAAGAAAATTATTTATCATCTGCCATGATTACGATGCTTTGTTATTGCCACAAATTTCTAACTGATAAATTCCAAATGATGTCACAAATAATGCAGGTATAAGATATATTTTTCAGGCCGAGATAATTAAAATTCATTTAATCGTGATAGAAAGCTTCAATGCTCCTGTGCTTTGTGGTTTTTCCGCTAATTTTGCTATCTAGAAAATACTACGCCCGCTTTTAACGTTTAATATCAACCTCTTTCTATTTATTTGGGGGCTCTGTGTATAAAGTAATACTGACATTGACAAATAGATTATGCTTGAATTATGCGGTTAAGCCGTAACTATGATCAGCAGTAAATTTGCATTAATAATCACTATAAAGCTATGAATCTGTATTTTTGAAAGCATGTTATTTTTGACGATGGATTTCGCAGAGTTACTTTGAGCTATCCAATATCCGCGATTTTCAAAGTGCGGCTGGAGCCAGGTGGGTATCTTGTGCATTTGAATTTGTTGCTAGTAGGTTTTATTTCTGGTTTAACTTAAAGTTTCTAACAATGATTTATCTTGCTTGAACCGATGTACATCTTTGAAACATCGACGTTTTTTATTAACGCTTACATTTATTCTCGTGCTAGCTGTTATGTTGGTGCTACGTTTTCAAAACTTGCACTTGTGGAAATTTTTAAGAAATCTGACTTAGACTCCAATTCTTCAGTCTTTTTTTTTCAAATAATGCTATTTTGGCGCCCTGGAACCATTTTACCACCAACTTATTCAACATTTAGAGATCCTCTTTCGTGACGATGACTGTTATGTCCCTTCCTATTCCTTTTATTGTAAAAGTCTTATTTCAGTTTTGTTGAATTTTTTGTCAGTAGTTCTATAATTGATTTTTGCTTTTCATCAATTTTTCATTTTGATATTTGTCTGTGATGTTTGGCTTGCTTAAATACACACATGTATTGAATTTGTCAATCTAAGTAGTTGTGTTATGAGCCCCCAATTTTGTTTTGCATTTGTCAGTGCTGTTATTATTTAATTACTGAGTTTATTTTCTGCCTCACAGTATATCGTCGTAATGCTTGAAGGTGTGTCCAAGCTAGCCAAAATGTTGGCTTCAGATGAATTGAAGACCCGTAAACTGGGTCACAAGTACGTCCGTGATCTATTTAGTCTCAAGCCCGGCTCTGACATATGTAAGTTATAAGCTTTCCACCAGTTTCATCAGTGCAGGTGAATTATCTTACGAGGACATACTTGGAGTCTGCAAAGGTCTTCACTACAGTCTGTGGATGCAGGACAAGTTATTGCTTCAGGTTTTTGCAGTTGGTTGTTTTTATTTTCTCCGTAGGAAGAAATTGTTAAGCGTATTGTGCACTTAGTGCCCACTATTAAGTCTCGTCAGATTCGCTGTATGTATATAAACGCCATGTTTGAGACCCTAGCCCGCGAATGGGACAATCTTGACGTGTGGAGACTTGATAAATTCATGATGGTAGGTTTTGTTGTATGCGTATTTCGATTATTCTCACTTTCTTTCTTATTTGGGTTCTAGTTAGTTAGCGCTAAAATTAAAGCCGGTTCAATTTGGTTGTAGTTGAAGATATAATACCGAGTCCTCTTGTTCCGATTTACCTAAACCACGATAAACATCCGATCACCTTTTAAATATCTGCGGCCTTCGGAAAGACTTATCATCCAAATCATTGGTCATTTTTGGGGAATAATGTTAGAAAGTTGTGATGTCTTTTCAATTATTGTGGGCAAATTTTAATGCATAAGTCGTATTAATATATTACTTGTGAGAGAAACATTCGTTTGAAAATGGATTGAGACACGAAAGCGCTGTCGCGCGAGTTTCTCATACCCAGCCGAAACTTGTATTTTTAGCGAAGCCCAGTCATTGTAACTCAGTATTTTTGCAGAGATGTTTGTAACTTCAGCATATAGAAAGCGAACGGATGATGTGTAATGTAGCGCCTTTGATTGGCTATTGAAGTTACCTGTGGTTATGTTCTATGTCTGCAACCACACCATTTACCTCTACTCTGTTTAGCATAACTCACAGTAGGGACATTAACAGCCACTTATGCGTTGCCTTTTTAAATAAGGGGATTCGAGTTACTACTCTCCCAATTTTCTGGTAATCTGGCTGACCTTAAGCTCAAAATTATTGGTCTGATTTATCACGCTACAATAAGTTTATGGGGACACTCAAGCAACTCATACTGTTGAGGTCTGAGTATTTGGATTCCTCCTCTGGAATATATTTGCCATGAAAGAAAACTCAAAAACACTGCCCTCCATCTAGTCTTGTTTTCCACCTTTTTATGCAACCCTTATATGTAGGAGAACGTGTAGTATCCTGTGTGCCTGTGGGGTTATAAATATGTTTAATTTTGGGAGCCCTTTTCATCTTAGTTAACACGCGACCTCTTTGTCCGGTGTTTAACGTCGACGAAAAAACGCAGCATTCCCATAAAGACCCTCACAGACGCAGTTTTCGACAAAGTCCTAAACAATAACCTGAACTCGGCTATCGAACTCAAACTTCACCTCGTTACTGTCATCCAGCAGGAATTGGTCAAAGTAAAGGTATGTCATAAATTCCTTGGCTCGATGACTTCTTTTCTTCCACTCAGGACATTCCAATGGTTGTTCAGAGTTTCTTCAAGCGCACTCTAAAAGTTATTGAAGACGTGCCAAGGTAGGTGGCGTGCTTAGTCTGCATTGGAGTCTTCAAATTTTAGGGGAAGTGTGTACGTCACAGATTTGTTAAAACTTCTGCTTTTTTTAACAAGGCTAATGCGGACCTATCCCAAGGTGAGTATCCAACTTTCAGTTCATGTTTGTCTTTGTGTAGTTGCCTCTGAAGGAAATAAGCGAAGAGTTGTTGGCTGCTTCGACGAAGTATACTGCCCACAGAAAGATATTGTGTAGGGTTGCTCAAATGTGAGTGTTTTCCGCGTAGTATTTCTTTTCTGAGAATCGTTCTTGTTTCTTTTGTGTTAAGGTTGTATGCACTTAGCTCTTTCAAAACTATTATAACTTAAGTTTGTTTATTATGCTATTAAGTCGTAGATTCTACGTACCTACATATCACTTCCGGCTAGCTCAAATTCCTATCGCTTTGTAAAGCTCCTGGGACATACCTGTTGGTCTTTTCGCAATCCACATGGCGTTACCGATTATTGTTGGTTTGTATTTTCATTTATGCCTCTCCAAGTCATAGAAACTGTAGACCGAAAATTTTATTACTACATTAGTGGACTCCAGCGTTTGGCATTAGCTAGTCTGATTGGCCTTCTGAGATTGAGAAAATGATGAATTCTTGACCCGCGAAGAACTTTAATCTTATTTGTGGTGGCTCCTGGTTATCGAAACGATGTCATTTAAACCGCCACTCAAATGAGGATCTCTTCTTCGTCTTAGGTTGTGAACTTTTGTTCCCATATGTTTACGTAGATCCGTTGTTTTGTGGCTTGTTGGTATAGGCTTTACGTGAAAAGACCCAAGCACGTTATCGACAAAAGAAGCATTGATAATGCTGTTGAAGTTTCAAAAATCCGAAAAGTGAAAGAAAATAAACGAGTGGTTGGCATGAATGACGCAAAGGCCAAAGACCCTGAAAATTCGGTGAATCCAGCCACTGTGGTTGCGATCGGCAGACAGAAATTGGATAGTGATCATCTGCAATGTAACTCTGCTGCAGTAAGTTCATCTTTGTTGTTTGCTTTTGCTGATTTCAATCCATCTTGCCATTTTCTGCCAAATAACAAAAAAGAAGCAGCCTTTTCGTTGTGCCATGGTCCTTCGTGCAAGGCTTTTTTCTAAAATTCTCGAATGGAAGGCCTCTTATGGTTTGCACGGACATAACCATGGGGTGTTAACGAGAAATTCCTGGCGTCAACTGACTCTCGTTTTTGTTGACTGTCAGGCACAAAAGCAAACTAGAGCTCCCACCGAAACCCAGCGCCAGTGGTACATTTCTGAACAAGTGCTGCACTTTGTTCGCTCTGTCTAGGTCATTTCCTCAATACTATAACTTGTTAGTAGACCTGCAACTAGGGGTTTCGCTATTTCATTGAGGGAACGCCGTTTAAAATAAGTCTAGAAGCAAAGCTGGTGAGTTGTTTGTCACATGCTTATGCTGACTCTAGACTGGAAATTTGTCAAAAAACCTGCCAGCCATGTCATATTTTCAACTATGTCTAGTAAGAATTCCCAACTTCGTAGCACTCTGTGGTATTTACTGTTGGCACGCTTAATCTGTTTTACAACGCTGGTCGAAAATTATGCTCTCCTTGAAATTAGCTTAAACTTTTACTGAAATTTGCGGGAGGGAATTTAGCGTTATTTTGTTTGCTTCCTTGGCTGGTTTGTCAAGTTATCTGCTCATTACTTGGGTGACTTCAGTGGGTAAGTTTATGCCTGATTTCGTAGAAGTTGCGATGTTTCTGCCCACACTTGTGTTGCTCATCGGTTCACATTAGGTAGTCTAGAGCTCTATAGTGCTTGTAATCCATGCAGGTGTCCACCAAAGGAACTGGCCGGAAACGCAAACTCAGTGACGAGGAATCAGACCTGGTTGGTTTGACGCAGGTCAACAACACGTCCACTCCTCAGTCTGCGCACGCTTCTCCAAAGTCTGAACACAGAAAATGCAAACGGAGTCGAAACGGTAGTGGCGACGTCCAAGCTAGTAGCAGTGATACAAACGTCGCCTCTACTCCCACCCAAACGCATTCATCCGCATCGGCGTCAGACGTTGATAGCCAGGTTAGTCTATGGTTCTTCCTCTGGCACCTGAGCACTGTCTGCTGGGGTTTTTCACCAAAATGCTTAACCACCCACTACGGTTTGCTTAACCGGGCATCAACGTTTGTGTGTCACAAGTTTACTAGCTGTGAATAGCTCACTTTAGTCTTTGTTAATGTACTGTGCACTCAGGCACTCTTCTATCGCAAAAGGGAAGCTAATGGTTCCGTCTGATCTCTACAACGCCGCCGTTTTTTACGTGTTAGTCAAAAGTGGTTTTTCTTTTTGGTAAACTTACATTTCATTTGTCGTCCGTACTTACGTAGTAAATACATAATAGTTAACCACGTAAAACCAAAGTTGCAGGCGAGTTTGACTGTGTCGATGGGGGTAAAGTCTGCCCAGTCAAACAGACAAATCACCCTTTTTCGTTTTAATTTTGAGACTCTGTCTGCCTCCCTTAAATTGGTCGTGAATAGAAAAGTCCCTTTTCTGCATTACTTCCACACACACACACACACACACGCCCCCCCCCATACCCTCCAGCTTGATTACGAGATTGAGGCCTTTCAGTTGGGCTTTTTAGCATCAAAATGTTCGCATTAGAAACTTTTTCGAAGCAACACAAGTCGGTTTCGTCTTCTCCATTCTTGATTGCTACCAGTGACGCTACTCCCGCGTTTCGAATTAACCAATAGGCAAAGCGACGACTCAGTCCAAGTCCAGTTGTGCTTGGAGTCTCGCTTCATAGACACTCCGAACATCGGTGGCCGTTTTTGCAGCAAAGATAATTCTAATTCATCATCGGCAAACAGTACTCGTAGTACTTCTGTTCCAAGTTCAACGGTAGATTTCAATCACCTTGCTTTTTGTCCAACAAATTTCCTCCATGTTGTAAGCTGCCTTGGTAAGAGGATGAGATGTGTGTACGTGAGTTGTTTCCCTTGACAGGTTATTACCAGAGTCGATGACAACGCTGCAGGGGAACCGCTGACCACATCTGGGGTGATGCCCGCACCAAATGGATCTACTCATTCAACGGGCGATGTGTGCGAACTGAAGTGCAACGGTGGTGGTGTCAATCTGAGCGCCTCTTTTGATCTTTCAGTACTAGACCAGGCTGCGCCAGCGAAAAAACGAGTTTCCTTCGGGAAGGTCTTTCGCAAACGTGAGTTTACACCTTGTACCCACTCACGCTGATAAACACCGATGGTTTTGCGATGTTAACGGCCTTGCAGTCCTCGCATGTCAACGCCTTCCCTATACTAACAGTTAGATCGACGTTCAGGGAAGAGATGCAGCTTCAAAATCACAGAATTTTGATCCACATAGTGATTCGGCTCACTCGGTACAATGGGTATTGTTAGTCTACCTTATGTCCCAAATCTAAAAACACCTTGAGTCGTTCACAGCATGTTTTTTTTTGTGGTCAAGTTTATATGTAAAGCTTCTCATTTATTCCCTTTTAAAGGATTCTCTGCCAACAAGAAGCTGAACATTCCGCCAGTTGCAAAGGCAGCGCTTGGCAGAGGGATTTTGCGTCGGTGATGCGTGCAAGAAGTCAGTTCTAGGCGTTTTTTTACCCGAGGAGTCCACTCCCCTATGCAAATCCTCAGAATAAAAAGTCATTCTTTTGTACCTGGGTCTTCTTGTGGGGAACGGTGAAAAGTTAAGCTGACCTCGAGGTCATGCTATTCAAATATTTTGACCCAAGTGCATGGCAGACATTGTTCAAATGGTACAACTACTCTTAAATAAACATACCCCGTCGTTTGCTCTAGTACCCAGTCCCGCCTGCTCTGATTTTAGGTTATTTTGAACGACGCCATGCGCCCGCTATTCGCACATACCTTATCGTGTTCTATACTTAGGAATCGTGCCACTATAATTTACTTTCCAGTCGGTTCGTTACCCCAATTTTATTCACGCACTGCTCTGTCCATGTACGGCTAGTCCAAAGAAAACACGAGCTTCCTCAATTTAGCAAACCCTGTCCGGATTCTTCCCTTTGAAGCTACACCGTCATTTCCAGCGGTGGACAGAAGCAAACTTTTCTGCGTCAGCACGTCCGAGTGCAACTAGCATGTCTGCCTCATAGTTCTTCAGATACTTTGTTCTCTTTAAGATAATTTGGTGTCATCACTTCGGAAAAGTATCAGCACCCCTCGAAAATCGACAAGTTTTACTCGTTATTTCAGCTAGAATCACAGATTTTTAGGGTCGTAGTTCCTTTCTCGAGTGAACTCTATCATGAAATGTGCTATGTAGAGACTGTCGAATTTGCTTCATGGTGTCAAATCACAATTTTTGCCAGTTGTGGAGGCGGATATGAACGTAGGCGCTAGCTTATGTCAACCAGGTAAGTGCTGAGGTGTGAGGTCCACTGGCGTTGGCAGCCTGAGCGCGCAGACTGTCCCAGTGACACGTCAATAAGGCTACTGTGGAGACTGTCCATGCTCCCTCAACGGAGGTTTTTAAGGCGGAGTTGCTGGTTGGCGAGACGCTTTTCGTTAAAACCATTTCATGTGAATTAGCTATTTTGTAGCTCTTGCCAATCAATTCCATTTTTTAACCGGACATCGTTCTGCCAAGTTTGCATACTTTACAAATCAATAGAGGCGGCGCGGGTGTAAATTCAAATTCGCGAAATGCCGCCAGCTGGTGAAGACGCTGGAGACAAGTTCGAGGACACAAGACTTAAATTTAGGCCTGCTCGATGGCCTAAAATAGAATTTCATCCCGACATTAAAGAAGATCTGATTCGTTCGTTTAACCTTTTCGATACAATGGGCGTTGGCGTTGTCAGTATTGACGCACTGAAGGCAAGAGTTTAGGACGTTTTGCTTACTGTTTTCCTGGCTAGAATATTATTGCTGCCTGCACTATTATTACTTATTTTCTGCTAAGTAACTGTGGCATTTAGAAGTAATTTTCGTTAACGACTTTCTGTGATCTATGAAGGTGTGTTGCACCATTATTAAAAGTAATCGAGTTTATCTATAGCACATTCGACGATGGTGTTTTGAAGCTAACTATAGTCGTCAAATTCATTCCTTTCTAGACTATATCTTCATAGCGTGCTTAGTAGATGGCCTTGAAATTATTTCTTTTGCAATTCTTTTTCCTTCAATTTATGACCAGTTAACCTTACTCTGTGTGGTACAAGAAATCAGAAGCATGCAGTATGCCATGAAGGAGAGTCGGCCACCAAAATCGGATGGCTTTCTCGAGCGAATCCACTCGTCGTAAGGATAGCGTTGTGAGTCTAGACACCCCAGTTCGCGAGAAACCCTCTTGTTGTGCTTTAGGTGGCGTTGCGTGCCCTGGGTCATGACATCGATGCCAAGGAGAAAGAGGCGATTGACCAGATGTTCCCTGATGGAACGGTGGTCTTCGGTGAATACCTCAACCTCCTATCCCAGTGGATACTCAACATAGACAACGACCTCGATGTGAAAAAAGCCTTTTCCTTATTTGACGTCGATGGAAAGGGATTCATTGACCTTAACGATCTCCGAAGGGTGCGAGACAGCCTTGGCTATTCCAACGAAATAGACGACTCCGAGCTAGTTGACATGCTCACCGGATCTCAGGTATCTTGCTTTTCGAGTGCCTTTCATCGATGGGGTTAGGCCTGCTGCTAGTGCGTAGTTCCTCTTTTGAGGTTCAAGGAAACATTTTGAGTGGCAGCAGCGTATAATTCCTCAGCTGGCGACCGTGCAAGCTTTAGGAACCATATATTTACTTCTCTGTAAAGGACTTGTGCTTTCTTCACGGAACCGAATTTTTCTCTCTTCTGGTTTTGTTCTGAAGGAGGCGTCGGCCGGGTGGGGGGGGGCGGTGGGGGGAACGGGAACGAAAGGGGTGTGTCGCTTCGGTTTAGAAGGGCAGCTCGGTTCATTTTTCGTCAACTTCTTTCTGTGTCTGTTTGTGTCACAGGTAAATGATGCAAAACAGGAGCTTAAGGAATTGTACGAGGCTCGGCAAGACAAGACCCGCCAGCGGAAAGGTCAAGGTTACGCCACGCAGGTGGACGTGAACCCCGGCATTGCTGGTCTTCCCCCAGGAAGCATCGTTAGGAAGACTTCCTCGAAGGTCGAAATTGAGCCGGAGGCCATGACAGTCGACTTCGACAAATTTAAGCGCGTTCTCCAGCTAGAGGCCCCACCTCCAGAGCCCATCTAAAGTACCATCTGTAATTAATACGTGAGATCCACCAAGAAAATGCTTACTCTTCCATGCTACCGAGAAACTTGTGCTGTATTCGCAATTCGAAGACATAAAATGTCGCATTCAATACCAACTGTTTCTTATCCGAATTAATGCAGTTCATACAATTGTAATGATTCCTAACTATGGCTTCTCTTTTATACATCCCTGGTTACTTCAACTTCAAAACGATTCCCAAGTTACTAGCTGTGTTGATTTTGTAATTTACACATTCAACACAAACGAAGTCTTCAATTCCATCCTTGTCGCAGTTTTCTGCTTAGGCTTTGAAGCAGATGCGTAGCTCAGTTCAGCTTGTGTCAATCGGTACCAGCTGTGTCTTTGTGTGTTTTGAAGGACAACAGTTAATTGCCACTGATTGAGTTCTCTGTTGGGGCTTTAAGTTATTATTCGGCCCTGAAATATTCGTAAATGCCTCTTCCATTACATTTATACTAAATATCTCCTTTCAGATAATGTCATTTTACGGAATAACGCCGAATTTTTTTATAAAATATTGTCTATGGTGAGCCTGCTGTTGCGAAGTCCAAACGTGGCTTCGGTTATCAGCATGGCCTCAAGACTGCAGAGGTGTCCGCAATGCCAAACTGTGAATAGATCCTCGCCTAAGGTTAGTACAAGTTTAGTACCCAGTGGCCTTTCTAATCGACTGAGGAAACGTCAAAAACTCCGCGACGCATGCTTTTCCGTCTGCCTAAGGGGGATATCGTGTGGTCATTTTTGTTCTTGGTAGATGCGTGGACCTTTCAAGAGTCGTCGCCTTTCAGCCATATTTTATTAGACTCGCAAAGAAAATCGATACACCTCTTCTAGAACTTTTGAGGTTTCCAGTATATGGGTACTTAGAGCACTTTACATAAAACTGCGTGAGCGTGTGAAATCTTCCTTTAGAAATAAGTCAAACGGGAAGTGATCCACCATCCCCAAATTGCTTGCTGGCGATCTGCGCAAGGTGATGAATGCTCCAGTTGAAGCAACAACAAATGCGTCCATGTTTGTAACTCGCTGTGGTGCGCTTTCATAGTGACAGACATCTCCAGAAGCCCACTGTCTGTGGTACTTTTTTGCATGGCTCCTCGAAATCCGGCTATTTGATCATTTGTTATTTTTTATAATCTTCTCAGTGCTTAATGCAATTCACTGTTTGGACAGTAGTTGCGTATGCATACATTGTTTTGCCCGGAGGCAGGCCAAAAGCGAAATTTCCTTTAAATAGTTTCCACCTTCCCGAACCCAAGGTGTCATTTCTCTCTCAGACACAACCAAATTTGTCCGCGTGGTTTTTTATGTCCTTGCCACGTAATTTTACCTACATATTATGAAATACCTTTCTCTAGTAGCGGTGACCCTCTATATCAGCTGCTGAACAGGCCAAAGTCAAATGTTTGACTAATAGTAAGCGCACAATTCAAGGCGTCAACCCGAAAATTAAAAAACTCAAGTTTTGGGGAAAGAAATACCTCTGGAAAACCGCGGCTTACTCATCCCGGTGGTAGGTTTAGCAGCCCACCCACACGCGGCGAGTTGTCAAGACAAGTTTCTACACTGGTTTTCGTAACACATGCGCAGAATCAGTCACAACACAGAAGATTAGGTGGCACACCAGGCTTTGATCGGCGCACCTCCCGCCGTAAGTCCTCTTCCCCCTCAACCGACGGCCAAAAACCTCCAGCAAGTGTGTGTGTTCTTCTGCAGGAGAAAAACGCAAATGAAAAGGACAAAGTGATTTATGTCTGCGTGAGCTAGACAGGGGAGGTAAAAAGAACGATGCAGCTTGATTATCGCGTTCACCCCACCCCAATCCTCCTAAACCAAGTTATTTGTGCGAAAAACCGAGAAGGCGAAAATTCTTATCCCCACCGCGATGCGCTCGAGTGGGTCTGGCGAATCGCACGGAGTGTGCGCCCGATCTTGCGACTGACGTCCAATATTTGCTGCTTGCGAAGCCAGGCACCCAAAAAAATTATCTCCTCGGTGTCTGAAGAGCAGTACATAGAACAACGTTTTACTGTACTTGGATATTTTACCACGTATTTAGTTAGCTCCAACACCTCAACGCACAAAGATGATTACAGCATCTTCTCTCGCCTTCTTTTATTTACATTGCTTACTTTTACATCTGCGGTAGCACGATAACACAAAATCTGCCATCAAAGTCGCGCGTTGTTCTTTGACTGCCCAACGATCGGAATCAATGGGCGACAAATCTTATACAAATCTGAAGAATCTGGCATACTCAGAACAGTAGGTGACACAAGTTGGACAAATTTCCCACTAATAGACCGATCATTGAACCGATAAATATTCTTGTTAGCCTCCTTTGTCAAACCTATATTCCATTGTTTCTGGGTTACTGATAATAATCTACACAACCTTGAATCTCATCATCTGAAGGTTGTAGATCAAATTTACTGGGACTCTGCTTGAGTGTTGTCACATTTCAGCACTATGAAGGTGAGCAAATAATGTCTTTCGGTTTGGGTTATGCAAAATTAAGCAAGAAAAGTACTAATCGTGCGATATCCTCGATTGCCGTGTCCCTTGGGTTCATGATCTGTTCTATTTCTGGCGAGCACTGTTTCCACGACTTGAAATGCTACCACTTCGATGTGCCTGTTGTTCTTCCATTTAGATTGTGCCTGCCAGGCTTTGTTAGTGTCAATATAATGATATATCGTAAAAAAGCACAATTAGTATATTTGACCAGTTTAAAAGAATGAACTGGTGCAATTTCGTTAACACTTTTTCCGTATCTCCAGAAGAATAATTCCAATATCCTGCTGCTTATGATTAATTTTGAAGGCAACTCGTGGATGTGTGAAATTGCACAACGAAATCTGGGATGTACGTGTTTTTTGAACCCAAAATACCCCTCAAGTAAGTTATAGACGCACATATTTGGATCCAGTCAGATCCTTTGATGCTCTGCTGTATTGTTCTAATTCGAAATTCGCTTTCTTTTTTACAACTGTTACTACACAGCAAAAAATTAGAAGTAAAACTTGGCATTACTCCATTGGTGCTGCCTTCTTTGACGATGCAGTTTGTTCCCAGGAGTACGATGGTCTCCAAACGACGGTGTCGATAAAAAACCACGAAATTGTAAATCTAGAGTTCGGCCGTTTTATCAGAGGTTTCGTGAGGAGGAGGAAAAGGGGCAGCTTAAGGCTTTGCATCCCACTATAAAATTACGCATCTTGGGTTGCAATGAATTACTTTTATGATTAGTGAAACAGGAAAACAGTTTTTTAGACTGCTTTAGACGGAAAAGGACGGGATCTGATGACTTGACCAAACAAACTTAAATCGGTCTGTCAGCACGCACTGTGGGCGTTTATAAGCCTCTCTTGATGCACTGTAACTCATGCATCCAAATAACTCTATTTTTTCAAGACCCAAATGTATCCGCGCATGATGATTTAATGCACCTGTTCGACAGGGTGTTTGAATATGTTGTCCACGTGTTTTTAGTGATTTCTGCTAGCTCTAAAATGCACAGCCGATTAAAGTAAAGAGCACATCTAACTTAGCAAGCACATGCTGAATAAACTACCAAAGGTCTACCATTAACAGCCAATGTGAATGAAGAAACTTGTAACCCAAAACACAAGTTAGGGTGACGAACCGGTTCTTCCGGTTCACGCTTTATTCTGAATATTCTTATATTCCAATTGGCAAATACACAAATAAGCTGAAAGGAAATGTGATTGGGCCCAAGTTGCCCTCTTGACTTACAAAAGCCTGAAATTGTCAACTGTCATCATGGTCTTTTACTGTGTTTACGATGAGTAGGCATAAAGTGGTTGGCAGCTTTAGCGGCTCGATAAAGTACCTGCATTGATATTCCGACTAGTAACGTATTTATTGACTTATCTTAGTAGATCAAACAGCGAGTGAAACAATATTCCCAATGCAACGCTCTTGGTGCAACGCAAACACAAAAATACTCGAGCGCAAATTGACTGATTGTTTAATACCATACAACGAGTGATGCAAATACTAAGCATGACCCAAAATGTTTTATAAATGGACACGTTGCTTTTGACAAGACCTAAAATGTTGATGAAACCAATTGCATAACTATGCACCTTGTATCAAAACTCGTTTAACCACCTGGTCAAATCATGTGACAACTCCGCATAAAGAGGACCAAGTTAGGCCAGGTAAATTGCGTAGGTAGGCTACAGTTCTGCAAATGATTATGTTAACCACTGATTGAGATTTCCCCAGGTGACGCTTTGGCAGTGATTTTACCCAAGTAACCAAGACTTTTCACTATAAATTATGCTGCCGAAGGCAATCAGAATGTGGTAACGTGGACCGAGTAATGCGGGAGGATGCGTTAATCCGAGAAGTTAGCCAAGTATCTAATGAACGCCCCCAAACACAGACTCTCGAGTTCGAAAACATGGTGAGCATGAAATGCTAAGACTGGATGTTTTGCGTCAGAAAGAGTGTTCCCTTTAAGGCATAAAGCCCGAGTTGACTAGTTTAAAAGTAATTAAAAAAGAATTAGGATCGCCGATGCACATGGATTTTGTGATCGACAATATCAGAAGCAAAACAAATGACACCACCTTGTTAATAAGGTCCGCTTTAAAGCAGACCAGAATTGGAAATTCCCTTTAACACTTGTAGGTTTAGGAATTAGGCCAGTGCTTTGAATGGAAGTCAAGTATGAAAATTCGGATTCCTTAAATATTTATCAATGGTATTTCGCTCTGAAATGCTCCGAAATGTAATTAATGTGATTGAATCCATGCCATTTACGTTTTCAAAGTCTCTTACAAATCAAACAAAGTAACTACCTATGTATGTTGATTTATGCTCAGAAACGGTATTTTACTGTACGCATTTGTATAGCCATTCGGCCTCCGATGAGCCATTCTTATTCTCCACAAATACACTGCTACGTTGAGACTGTCATAGCACTACTTACAACGAGGTGTCACAGT